AATGAAAATACAAACAAAAGCACCAAATTTTGGTTGAAAGTCTGGCAGGACTGGGCTTTGGCGAGAGAATATGATGTTGACATTGAGAAGTACGTATCGAATTTTGTCATGCTAATAATAAACAAGTAATCATGCGATGTTGCTCGTACAATTACCTATAATTATTGCTCATTGGTGAACTTATTAAGTTACTATTACACCAATACATTTAAGTTACAATTACATTACATCAATAAATCAGTGAAATTAAACCACATCTTTGTATAAGTTTAAATAAAAACTTTAAAAAATTTAGAAAGTAGAGTAGTAGCTTAATGTAGAGTAGTAGTAGCTTCAACTTAGATTGCTTTCGGACAATTATAATTTAATTAATTAAATCCTTTTGACAAAATAACAGGTACTAAAAGGTGACATACAAAAAGCGTTTGATGCAAGCAAGTGTTATTAGCCATAGGCCCAAAAATCCTGGGCACAATTCGAATATGAATGCAGTTTCCTATTTGGTTTGATTTGGGATGGAAAACCATTATACTGTATTTCTAAATAATTTTAGCAATTACATTATTATTCTCTGAGTTTAGTACAGTATAGGTCCTTTGCATAACGTTTAAACAAATATGTCATAACAATGAGCATGGAGAACAGTGGGATTTTCAAAACAATGAAAAGGAAATATTCTACTTATTACTGGATCCTGACTGAATGGCACTATGATTATGCTATTAGCCTTGTGCAAAGGGCTCACAATTATCCTTAGCCTTTCTCAGCTCATGATGATGAATATCCGCCATTTTTGGGTGGCATCTAATTCTCGTTAACCAATGCTGACAATTAAAACAATGTGAAAAGTAATTTTTCAAAATAAACTAACCATTTACAAAGCAAATTTACCATCATTCGTCCAAAAAATTATAAAAAGTTGCTGTTATGTGGACTTATCTCACAGATTTTGGCTGAAAAGCCACCAAAAAATGGTGGTGTGAGAAATTCTAATTGGCTGATTACAGATCATTAAAATATAGCCAATATACGGTAATGTCTGATATCCATGCATTATCAGTTAATTAGCTCATTTTTATTTGTAATCAGACCAACTGGAAAATTAATATAAGCAGGATAACAGGAAGTGATCATGGAAATTGCAGGAATTTGTTCAAACTTCAAACATGAATGTAAATTGGGGTGTCCTGAATATATCTGAGCTGAGTTGTTTTGCGATATATGACCAATACACATTTAAACTTTTAGAGCATTGTGCACTTGTCATGGCAACTACCCCCTCTCCCCCCTCCCCCCTTCTCGGGGGCATTTATCTTGTTGAATCTTGAATTTTTCGAATCCATACAATACTTACCAACAAACTCAAGCAATTTTCCATATCAATTCAATATACTTGCTTAATTAAGTAATTCACAAATAAGATGGGTTGCTTATATTGGCCCAAGTTTAAGCCCACAAACATATTATCGGTCCAAGTTTAACGCTGACTTCCTGACGGAGGGCCTTCACTCGAAACATTGAAGTTATACTTGCATTATTTAATAGGTAGTTGAATCCCTCTCAATTCGACGTTTTCTGCTGTTACTGTCACTATACCTAAGCTGGCATAGACCTTTGAGTCCAAGTTTAAGCCCTGACAAAATGCTCACGCAAATAAACACTTGTGTATTGTTGTTTTAAATAAGGAATTTCATTGGTTGCTTATATATGTCATATACAACTGAATACATTACATCACTGAAATATAATTATCTGCAGCCACTCTGTCACATGGACCACACTGACCACATCCATGGTGAAGCAATTAACAGTCTAATCTGCCCTATAAATCCCTGCTATTCCCCAGCATGTCCCAGGTACATGTAGGAAATTACAGTCCAGGCTTTACAATGACTAGTGCATATTACTGTCACTGCATGCTGTATAAATAGGTATATATTAAATTATTTGCACTGCAGATTATCAGATTATACTGGTACATTATTTATATCATACATCTGATCATAAAACAAACAAAAGTGGGCTAACCTCTGAAATGTCTGTGATATACCAAACATATATTGATGACCTTTTACAGTTACACTTACATACTTTTTGGACCTGCTGTGCAGATCAAATAAGTTGAGCAGAAGAGTTTTGCAAGCATCAAGCACTTGATCATACCTTTTTATCAGTAACGGTATAATAATATTATGAATGCTGACCCCTTCACGATAATGGACATGCGGTTAACCCGGATTGAAAGACACAATCCAAATTGCATAAAATATGCAAATAGTTGTTCCCTTTAGGGAAGCATGTGTGCTGAATACACAAGCATACGTTCGATGAACACAAAATGTTTATATTACATCTCAATGGAAGTATTACAGAATTATACACAATTTAGCATGTATAAACATTTCAAAAATATTCGTGAAGCCATATTTGTGTATTCTGGTAACGGTGTTCCTCTTAGGGCGATGATGAACAAGCTACAGCCTAAATAACAAGCAGCTGCTCGCTCAGACGAACACTGAATCAGCTGTAACTGTTGATCGCACACGAACGATTTACTACGTTATAATTTGTTTGAAGAAAAATTGCTCTCCATGGAAAATCATACCTTACTATTCGGCGATGCTTTCTTGAACACCCTGTGAATTTAACAAACATAACGATATAAGCGACAGATACTATATACTTCAACTCAAGCAACAAATTGAAAACGGCAGACGGCTTATTAACGTTCGTTGAGGGCCGCTGTCGAGTTTTCATAAACATAAAACATGGCAAAAGCCTTTACAGTAAAATATATGTACAATTTTGTAAATCTAAATGACGCAAAATTGAAAAAGAATCGAGTTATGGCGTGTATATTATTGAGCATACTTATTGAATCAACGCTATAATATCATATAAACAACAAAATCTGTAAATCGAGACTCATGAGATCAACAAAAGCCGGGGAACATAAGATTATAAAAGCTTCCCACCTTGTGCCACCGCTTTTAGCTTTGCTCGATGGTTCTGCAGTATTCTGCGTATTCTCCTCGACGTTTGGCGTAGCCATTTAATATATACAAACGACGAATTGCAATGCCAAACAATTCAACTAGATAATTCAGCTTCCCTTGTGGATCGAATTCTCGAAATTGCAAAAGTATCAAATAAAGCGTGGCGCTATTGATAATCAATGTTCCATCAGCCTTTAGAACTTAAACACATCCAATTCTCGAGGGATCTTTATTATAACGACGCCGCTGCTCATGAGGGCGTTAATACTGGATAAAACCGACAAAAACCAAAGAGCAATATATCAAGATAGGGTGTTTAAATGGTCACCCCTATCACTTCGGGCATATTTGATCTGGATTATATCTTTGGTCAGCATGTCACATTAGACGCCAAAAATCATGCGCAGAATGTAATAATCAAATGAAGGAAATGTTTTTCCTTGTGAAAGGAATTTTGAAGAAAAACGTTAGGGGGCGGCGCTCTTTAAAAAGCTTCTATTTGTGGGTTATAACAAGAACTTTTAACAATAAAACAAACAAGTTTTAAAAGATTTTTGTCACCAAATGTTCCCATTTTGACGGCGGAAAGTTTTTATACTTTTCAGCGCGGCGCTCATTCGGGGGCGGCGCTCTTTAAAAAAAGTTGATCTCAAATGCGGCGCTTATTCGGGGGCGGCGCTCAATCGAGTAAATACGGTATGCGAAATGCGAAAAATTTCGCAGGAAAAAGTTGAACGCATGCGCAACATGATTTTGGAATGTTTCTCTGCGAAACATTTCTCTTCGCCGGGTAGTTGAATTCGTTTCTACTCCGTTGCGAAATGGAAATAGCGAAGCCAATCAAATGCTTGTGTTTTGGATGATGATGATGATAAACTTTATTTAACCACGCTAACATTGTCAGCAGAAGCTGGTTTCCACAATGGGCGTGTAAAAGGATGACAAAATAGCGAAATTAAACCAATCAAATGCTTGTGTTTTGGCGAATTTTTTCTGAGAGAAAATTTTCGCACAAGTGCATGTGTTTTCGCATTTCGCTCGTCGTGGAATTAGGCCTTTAACGGTGGAAGTTAATGTGAAAGCACCCAACTATCTCTGCACCCTAACCGTGACTTATCCTGACTCTAACCCAAACCTTGACCCTACTTGGGGGCAAGATTGAAGAGAAATCAGTGACCGCGGAGCGTGTTCGGAAGTGGTGGGGCGGGCCACGCGAGTGGATTGGACCTATTGTGGATTTGTGGTCAGATTATTCGAACCATAATATATCAATTACTTTGTGAAGTGGGGGCCATGCAGTGGCGTAGCCAGCCAGTTACAAAGTGAGGGAGGAGACAAGTTGTGCGCCGAAGTTGCGAACACTGTAAGGAGTAAAATTTTGAAATTCAGAGGCTCTGAAACGCCATTTCGGGCATTTTGGGGTATAAGATTTTACACTAAATTCAGATTTTATAATATCATAATTCTGTCAAGAATGCCTGCGTGTTCAGTTATTAGATTGCGAATAATAAGCTGGACATAAAATCGGATCAGTGTTACCCCCCAGTCTCTCAACGGATTTAAACATATCTTGAAGGTGGTTCTAAAGGAGAATCCTAGTCCCCCTGGTGGCTACGCCACTGGGGCCATGACAATCTGCAGGGGCCATGACAATCTGCAGGCATGCATGTTTCGGCGTTCGACGCCTCGTCAGTGCAACTTGGTATCACATAAACATGCTCTCACCAACATAGAGATTATAAATAACACTAGAGGAGGCATCGCAATCATGACATCAGGCAAAAAAAAAGGAATTCAATATACAGATACAGATATTGTCAAAAACCCTATCAGGGTTTTTCAGTGACATTGTGAATAGATAGATACAGGTTAGATAAATAGGTTACATTGTGAATAGATAGATAATTAGATATAGATAGAACCGGAACTGAGGTGAAGCAGACCGAGGTAAACTGTGAGCTCCATATCTCATTACTGATCTGCCCCCTACATGCCTATGTGTTTAACCCACCCTGTTACTTTCCCTGTGGGAGAAAACCGGAGTACGCGGTGAAAACCCACGCGACTTTCGGCAGAGCGTTGACTTTTACTCTTTTCACATTAGGACTGGGTTCGAGTCACATTGAGAAGTTTTCACTGAGATTTGAACCCACAACTTTTGAGGTGAAAGGCAAGTGCGCTAACCACTTCGCCACCGAATGCGGCTATTGGGGGGGGGGGCAAATTCAAGTCCCGGATGTGTACTTGTGTTCCCATTGGCCGGTGACGAGTTTCAATTTAGCCAATGAAAGCATGATTTTATACCCGGGACCAAAATTTGCTCCCATCAGCCGCGTTCCCAAATTTTAACCTCAATGCCTCCTCTAGTGTTATTTATAATCTATATGCTCACCAAGGCATGTGGAACAACACGATGACATCAACCCATCCAGACATGCGCAGAGTGTAATATAATGGGGCCGCAGAGTGCTCAAACAACCACAAGGGCTGCTAATAGACACCCATTAACACTGAACTTCGCAGAGTGCTCGAAAACATCGAAGTGAAGGAGATGACTAGAACAATCTGCAGACATGCATGTTGTTCTACGTCTCGTCAGTGCAGCTTGGCACACAATCTCGTACCCATGTATGCCCGTTCGTGCAGGTTAGGTGCTCATGCCCAGCACCTAACCTACGAACGGGCATACTCTGGGTATGAGATACGTGAGACATTCGTATTTATATCACATGAACTTCCAAGGCATGTGGTACGACACGATGACATCAACGCATCCAGACATGCGCAGAGTGTAATGCGGGTCAGAGTGTAATGAGCCCTATATATATATATATATATATATATATATATATATATATATATATATATATATATATATATATATATATATATATATATATATATATATACCTATATATATATATATAATTCTATAATTCAATTAATTGAATAATTCTACAAATTATTTTGTTCTCTGGATTCTAATTTAAATGTTTTGAGCTTTCGACTCGGTACTTCGAGCCTTCATCAGAAAGTTGGAATGTTTGAATTTTCGCGCTGTTCTCGTTCTTGAAGCCTTTGGGAACGTCTGATTGGTTGATCACGGATTTCGGCTGATGGATTGTTATTGGTTGCCATGGAGTGCGGGTGATTGCAATCATCGTGAGTTGATATTGAGAAGGAAGTTGCGGGTGGGTTAAAGGTTAATGAAAGCGAAAAAGGAATTTTGTGTGTTTTAGTTGTAAGTATATTACAGGAATGTCAATACGGCGGTTAAATGTTAGTTTATCT